AGTGGATGTATATTTCATCTAGGAATTGGCTTTTTTGAATGCCTGTCATAACCGACTGTTGGTCACATGTTTTCATGTTAACGACGTGTGTTTATTCGAAATATTGGACAATACAATGTTTCATACCATTAGGCTTATAGACTACCAATCTTATTCCTAGCCTTATATGGTTTGCCAAGTAAATTCTACAAGTACTTTGGTCTTTGTGTATGACATCGTAGATGAAGTGACATGTTTTTTATTATTTTAGGTTTGAGTGATAGGATCTTTCGAATTAAGAAGGAATTACTTGCGGATGTTTTAAAGAGATACTATAACGTAATGGTTTATGATAAGTATGTCTTCTCATCTTTCTTCGGTGTAGTTGGCCTTCGAGTGTAGCAGCCTGCAAATTTTCAAATTTCCAATAAGATCATTGTTTTGATTGATTAGTTTTTTTAGGTGGTTAAGGTACTGTGATACCGTATGAATTGTTCATTAATGTGTCGTTGTAGGCATAGTTATTCTTACACCCTAAATCCTCTACTTCACTGCACTTTTTGATGTGATAAAACTCTACGAACACCTGACGAGTTGGTAGTTAAACTATTAAACACTACGTAGTGTGCCTCTCATAACCATCTCTCGCTTTTTTGTTAACGACAAGGAACTTATAAAATTTTCCATTCAGATAGGCTTTCGCATGAATTAATTAGTGAAAATATCATCTAAAATATAACATCTCTAAAAAATGTAATATTCAAAAGTTCATCTTAGTTGCATCACGTAACATACAATAATAGATTTAAGTTCGCTGTAGGCCACCGAACTATAATAAAATTCAGAGCTGATAAGTGTGGTGTTTTAGTGAGTTAGATTCGTCATTTATGTACATTGTTCTCCAGTTTACTGCATTTTAGCATTATGAAGTGACATTAGCTTGTTCTGGAGGTCTAATGCATGTTTACTGTATTTGTCTCACCTTCCTTTGTAAAAATACTGGTTTTCCAGAATTTCGTTTAGTGCTGATGGTATACAAAATATGAAAGTAAGTAGATGGTCTCAAAATCAGGATAAATAAGTTGGAGGAGTTGGCGAAGTTCAACGAAAGCGTCCCAGGAGTGTGAACGCTCTGATGACCTTCAACGCATGCTAGTCGTTGGCTAACGGCATCTATCATTATCATAGCTGAAATATAAACGTTATTCACCAATTTAGGAGCAAATTTGCCCGAGATCACGTTTTAAAGTGCTGTTTGGACAATGTTTTAATAGTTCATTAGGGTTAGGATTAGGTTTAAGGTAAGTATTGTGGTTAGGACTAGGATTAGGGTTATAATTAGCATTAGGGGTATAATTACAGTTTGGATAAGAGTTATGATTAGGGTTACGGTTAGTGTTAGGGTCAGGATTAAGCTTATGGTTACGATTAGGGATAGATTTATAGTTGATGTCATTTATTTTAATTTGTTTTATTATCCACGTTTTCCTGGTAAGTAGTCGTCTATCCTCTTGCTGGAAACCATAATAATTCAACCGAGGGCTTTTTATTGGAAGACTGCAAGCAGGATGAGAGAGATAAACGATTCACAAAAACAGTTTATCTGTAGTCATCTCGGTGAATACATGCACATGTATAGAAACTAGTCTAACTTAGCAACTCTGATACTCCTCGTCGTTATAACTAGGAGGTAGTTTTAAGCCATGTGTCAGAGAAAGATAACCTGTTTAATACATTTCTTGTCAATATACATCATTTTTTGAGCAAACATTCCTCATTTTTATGATTGGTCGGCTGAAGGTCACTCGTGCGTTCGCACTTCTGGGACGCTATTGTTGAACTTTGCCGAGGAGTTCACCCCTCAGAAGTGCTGTTGGTGTTCTATGTCTTGGTAAAGGAATATCTATCAGTGACATTAAATCGCTCTTACGGCAGTAAAAGAGGGTAAAAATCCCTCTGTTTATACTATACTATGAGTGTCATTAAGGCTGCAACCAGGCTCGTTAGATCATGTTACTTCAAGTTTAGTTACGTTTACAGTGACTATGGCTAACAGTGAAGGATCATGATGTCATTCGATTCCTTGACCGTTTTCCCAGCTGTAACGACTAGTGTTCGAGACCCTTTGTATTGGAGTTGAGTGCTTACCAAGTATTAAGGGACCCAAGTTTCTCATGCCGTTTTAATCGGGTGTATAAAAATTACTTGAGATATTGCGTTTAGTGGTGCATTTTGTGAGTTAAGTTTACTAGTAACACTGAATAGTTTAACCTACCATGTTAACGCCGCCTATCCTTTTACATGGCATGCATTTTCATGTAAATTTGTTTATATGAAAATATAAATTATTATCATTATTATTATGTGCTCCTTGCTTTTATCTGGATATTTTACACAAAAAAAAATCATGGAAACCTTTTTTCTTCTTATTTTCAGTTTTCATTCAAGGCATTAAACTGTTCGGATGGACAACTGTCATGTGACTTAGATTCTTCGAATATTTCAAGTCCGAATGTACATGATGGCGTAAATTCATCCTCAACAGGGATAATCGCTAAAGCATCACTTTCTGACAATACTGAGAAAGAAGGTTCTAAAAATGCAAATAGTGCATGTGTTTATCAGTCCGACAACTTGAGTCAACTTTCTCCAAATGTTACTAGTCTTTTAAAACCAACAAAAACACGGGAATCTGAGGAGGTAGTTAAAATAATTTTATTCTTTGTTTAAATACTTTTGGTAAATTTTCGTATGCATTCGCTTCTTTGTCTGTCTGTGCCTTTTAGTTAAATGAACAGTTCGATAATTTGCTGAAAATTTAAACGCTGAACAGCCCTTACTTTCATCAAACTTAACTAATAACAAAACTTCTCAAATCCTTTTTTACTCTGTAGGTGAGGATTACCAAACTGTATCACATTGCTTTGCGTCTTTGTTCATCTGATTGTCATGGTGAAGATTTTAAGGCCAGACCAGTTTTAGAAAGTATTTTGAACAGCTTTATTATTGAAGGCAATGTGAGTTCTCATCTAAATCCACCCCTTTTTTATTCTTTGCTTAACTTACTGATACAATGATTGTTATTTTTACAAATTCTAAAGTCACTTGGCATATAATCTTTATCTACAAGGAGTGTGTATTCCAGTCGGATTAATGAATTTTTCTGTTTTATTCAGATAATCGGTTTTATCACTTGCGCAAATAACTAGTAGAATTTGTAGGTGTTTTTTTGATGAATTGACATAGATTAAGTGGGAGGCACTCATCGAAACTACTCAGTGTCAGACAATTGTTTCACTTCTCAAATGAGTAAACTTCTGCTCGCCATTATTAGCCGGTTGTAGGCATTCATACTTCAGTAAGTTGGTGGTCAAACCATATACTGACGTAGTAGTTCAAAGAAATGCACCATTATGTAAATGTTGGGAATTATTTTCGTGTTTTAACACCACACCTCGATGGAGTCAAAGTTGCTCCATCACTGTCCGGGAAATAGAAGAACTCAGAATATTGTAGTTACTTGGTGAAACTTAATTTTCTTTCCAAGTATTTGTCAATGGTGCTCTAATTCACGTCTTACTAAGAAGATATTGACAATATAGAAGTCCTTTGTAGTTAAACATAGAACAATTCGGTACATTTCCTATGCTCATCAGAAACGAGAACCATTTCGTTCAAAGTATTAAATTATCCAGAGACAAGTAAAGCTAATAAATAATATCTAGGTTATAGGATTTCGTCACGAACTAACATCGATTAAGCAGATCATTGAAAACCAGGGAGCACTAACCGGCTGTTTAGCCCTATTTTGGTGACTCTCCGGCGGTGCGCACCCATGACTCCACCAGGGACTGAACTCATCTCATTGATGACTACTGGATAGATGTCCTCAGGCTTTACGGAAAATTCGTAACCAGTGGCGTTCACCATATTAAGGTGAAGTAGTTGTCCTTCGAAGAGATTGGTTAGGATAGCGCTATATAACGAGTTGATGAAACTAGTATTCACGACTCACTGAATTCTTGGCCAAGTGGCTGAATAGTGAACGACCTTTGTCTGGTAACTTGAGGGTCTCGAATTCAATCCCTGATGAAGTCGCGGGCGTACACTGATGAAGAATTCCAAGACGGGACGAAACGGCAGTGCTCCAGTGCTCCCTGGTTTTTAATGATCTGTCTAGCTGATGTTGGTTCATCAAAAAATCTAATAAATTTGTCAGATGATGATGGCTTTCAGATTCTGTACTTTCGAAGATTTTGTGTATTTGATTCTTCTAGTAGAACACGTTCCCATACATGATAGTGAAAAGGGCTAATTATTTTATTGATTCGGAACATCAACAACAGAAAAAAAACACCAGTGTTGGATATGATGGTGATAATTAGTAATGCATTTACTAACTACGTAGAAACGAAAGCGAAATCTGCTTAAGCCGGTGTTATTAGGTATTCAATATTCATGCAGAACACATAATACCAGTGTACGCCACTACAACCGTTTAAAATCCGTGTACATTTAAGTCTCCAGACTGATGGATTGTTTCTTCAGGATCTGGAATTCGCCGATGATATATGTCTGATTTCCCAGAAACTGGAAGATATGCAGGCAAAAAGCAACAAGTTGGCAGAAGAAGCATCCGGAGAAGATAGGACTTCAGGTGAACATAGAGAAGACAGAGGTGATGAAGATTCCTGACCAACACCAACAGCAGCAACAACAGACAACAATCAGCATAAATGTGAGGAACCTGAAAGAAACAACCTCCTTTACCTACCTGGGAAGCATCGTTTCAACTACAGGCGGAACTGACGAGGATATCAAAGCAAGGATCGGAAAAGCAAGACAAGCTTTCACTACTCTCAAGTCTGTGTGGAGGTCAACAGCACTCAGCATGAAAATAGAAATAAGATCCGGATTTTCAACTCCAATGTGAAGTCAGTCAGTGCTACTATACGGATCAGAGACTTGGCGCGTCATTAAGAGCACCTCAAACAAACTACAGACCTTCACTAACAATTGTCTTCGCTCAATACTCAAGATCAGATGGCCAGAAAACATCAGCAACAGGGATCTTTGGGAACGAACCAACCCAGCAAGGACCGATTGTGAAACAAATAGGCAGGAAGAAATGGAGATGGATTGGCCATACTCTGAGGAAACAATGCATCAAGTGACATCACTAGACAAGCCATTGCTCGAGTGGAACCCGAAAGGGAAGCGGCGAGTTGGTCGTCAGTGCAAGGGTAGGGTGACTTGGAGGAGGTCATGTGAAGAGGAGATGAAAAAGTGTGGGCAGACATGGAGCCTGGTGAAAACTCTAGCAGAGAACCGAACGCAATGGAGACTTGGGGCTGAAGCCCTATGTTCCTCTAGGAATTGAAGGAAACAATAATAATAATCTTCAGAACCAATATACATGACCTACAGTCGCCTGCAAACTAAATGTCAGTTATCGAAGTCCTCATGGATTCATGTTGTATTTTCATCTGATTATTATGATATGAAACAAGTGTTATCTTTCTACTTTAATAAGTTGTAATAAACTGAGGTAAATTATAATAATAGGTGCGTGTATGCAACATGCATATGTCGTCAGGTATCTCAGTTGATGTGACTTCAAAACTTCATGTAACTCTTTTCTTGAACAGAAAATTTCACGATATTGACAGAGTATTCAGAACTGTGTAAGTCAGTCTCACGCCTCAACTCCCCTCTTTTGTGAGTTTACTATTGGCTAATTAACTAAGTGAGGTTCTGTAGTGTCGATCGGGAATCGAACTCAGATCTCTTACATGGTAAGAGTAAGTATTCAGCCAGTGAGAGCTACTCGCGCATAGAAAGTTTCACTGGTAGAAAAGGCCAAGTTAAACTTTAAGCACCACTAACTACTATTCAACGAATGACCTCAAATGGTCCAATCAGGTTCATCCACGGAAGTTTAAGGTTTTATTTCTCTTGATTCGTGTCAAATGCGTGCTCTGACGAACTTACGCTTGCAGTTCGAGGAGGATAAGGTTTTGCATTATTGCCTGGATGTGAGGTTGCTTAGGAAGGAGAGGATTTGTTCATGTGGTGTTATGATGAGTTGAAAAAGCTTTAGCAATTGGATTGATGGATATATCCATCGTTGCGAAATTTGTTTGAGACGAGTTAGTATTAGAGAAGGTAAGCTGATAATTTTAATATTTCGTAGGAACATTTTTTTGGTAGGTCGCATCTCTTCCTAACCCAGATTTTGTATATTTGTAACTACTGGGTTTTAAAAAAGCCTGTGAGAGGCGCAGCTGCTGAAACCGAATATAGCCTCGTGTCAACAGTGGTTCAGTGGTATCAGCACTGCAGAGACATTGCTTTGTGGAAAATGGAGATAACTAGTCCGTTGTTGGGTGGAGAAGGTATCATCGTGCTCGTGGACGAAACTGTGTTACTGAAGAAAAAATACAACGGTGGTCGTGAGCGAGCCAACAATATTTGGGTGATTGGTTTATATGACACCTCCCTACTGAAAGGATTCGTGGAGAGAATACCACATAGAAAGGCAACTACTTTAATACCCATTATCAATAGACTTGTGAAACAGGGATCAATAGTATATACGGATGAATAGAAAAGTTATAGCTCTCTGTCATCTCTTGGATATATTTATCACAGAGTGAACCATTCTAGTGATTTTGTGGATCCCATTACGCAGACACACACAAATTCTATAGAAGGATTTTGGGGACGATTGAAAAATAGGATTAGGGCTATAAATGGATCTCAAGAAGATCTCATTAATAGTCATTTGGATGAATATATGTACAGAATGTGGTGTGACTTTTCTATTGGCACTCCTATGCTAAACTGAGAGATGTTTCTGTCACATGTTAGAGAAAGATACCCTATGTAACAGTTTTATGCAGTTTTTATGTTTTTTTCCTCATTAATATACGTTTTTCTATATCAACAATCCCTCTTTCACGTGATTGGTCCGTTAGAGGTCGTTCGCTGATTGGTAGTTAGTGGTGCTTAAAGTTTAACTTTGCCGTACAAAACTTATTTCAGTTTAGTAATCGTAATCGTAATAACTTTCTATTCACATTTACAGAAATTAACTCCACAATTGACATCTGTAAAGTTTGCCAGTTGTAAATTACTCGGAGGCATTTATTTCAAGTTGAATAAAAATGCTGAAGGTATAGATCTGCTCAGTAAGGTAAGGTAATCTGTCATCATATTTATAATGGATGTGTTTAAAATTATTTTATTTTGTTGTTTTCTGTCTGCATTAAACTTAAACTCTGTTTCCCTCCTGTTATTATTATTATTGTTGTTGTTGACAAAACCAATAATTTTATGTTGTAAGTATTTAGCTATGTGTTCTGAAGCCGAACCGTTAGAACTTGTGTGGATGACAGGACAACGTATGTGTGTGTGTGTTCGATTGATTTTCCCTCTTAGGCGTAGAGTGTTGGGCAAAGAGGGAGAATCAATCGAAGAGGCTATAAAGTTACATGGATTGAGATGGCTAGGTCACGTGCTGCTCATGCCTAACCATCGCCTCCCCCTCTCGAGGGCATTACTAGCTGATATAGGTGCAGGTTGGTAAAGAGTAAGCGGTGGCCAAACAAAAACATCGCATCAATCAATCCATGAAATCCTTGACAATAAAACTGAGTCAGGTAGGGAGATGCAGACTTCCGGGTTGGGGCCCGCCCTCGGGACTCTAAGAATCAATCAATGGCTGGAGACAATAGGTGGTGACATGGCTCAAAATCGTTGTCAATGGCTTACGCAGATGTATTCAGTCCCTGTAATCTTTCATATTCCTTTCTACCATTAGTCATTCTGTTTCACTCTTACACTTGTCAAAACTCTATTGATTCTCTTCATCACTCATCTTCTTGTCTACCTTTGTGTGGTATTTGGAACGTGGCAACTGGAACTGGTGCACTTCGGTGCGAAGTTCTATGTTGAATCCAGACAGACAATGTGCTTGGTCAGTGTGATATTTATCTCTCCCCCTATATATATATCTCTCTCGTTGTTTTATTGAAAATAAGTTCACAGCAGATCTGAAGAAAAAATGAATGGTTTGTTCTCATCATATGCAAGTATGGTAGACTCAGCATGGGGATTTTCATTTGAGCAGGGACTTGAGTACCTTTGAGTACCTTCATGGGATACTGTCTTTCGTAGTAATGTACAAGTCATTACTTTATCTTTGGGGGGTGTATTCGTTTCGTTCAAGTTCACGTAGCTATTCAAAGGTTGTATCCAATTTATCTTCTGTCTGGCTGGAGTCTAGAGGGAATGCTAGAAACCGGTGACTGGAGATCATCTTTAGTGATATCGCTCTAAATCGTTTTATATGGTGCAGATGCTTTCACTCTTTGTGATTCCCCCTATCCACTAAACGCTCGTGTTACCATTCATTGTTCTGTACATTTCTGTTCATAGTTCTTTTGAATGTCTTTCTTCCCCGTCTCTTTTCTCTACCTTTCTGTGCTACAAGGAGTCGGGCAACTTGAACTGGTGAAACTTCTGTGCAAAGTTTAATGTTGAAGCTCCGTCAGACAGTAAATCAAGTGTCTTCAAAAGTTTTCTCTTCATGTTGTTGTTGTTGTAAAGATGTAACTCATGGGCTTAAGCAGTCAACTTTTAAGCAGAGAGTCCTGAATTCGAATCCCACTTCACTTATTTCAACCTGGGCGTCTGAGGAGTATCAGCAGACCCCACACAATGTGTGCGACGTATAGCATAGTTCTGACGATATTTCACTTTTCGAAGAAAGGTATTCTTTTAGTTCACAATTCCTTGGAGACTAGTCTTTTGGGTATCGATCTATTCGTGAGATGTCTGGCCAACAGGATGATCTTGTTAGGTTGAAAGGGCCACAGATAGCATTGTTTGGTTTTTGTAATCGTCTGTAATTAAAATCTGTAAAGTTATAAATTATGTAAAACAACTAGGTACGATTATGATTAAACGGAAACACCTAATTGAGAATCATTTAAATTAAAACAGTATCATTTTCCTTAGGGATTTTAAAGAACGATGTTTGGTTTTCGTCTTAACTCAATTGTAATTAGATAAACATGATAAAATCTCTTTATTGTTTACTTTGAAGAAAAATTAACGAATCCTTCAGGTGACTATTGAAATTGGCATGTAAACCGTTCACAGTAGCACCTAACCTAGCCTGTTCCTAGCTATTTTATGAATAAACGGTCGCAACTATCCATTCGATACCGCTACATCAAGTCCCTCTTAATTTTTTTATTATTGTCTTATTACTTAAATTCCACTTTGATGAGCTGAAGTCATCTTGGTGCATTAGTTATTTTATTCCTTTGCGTACCCCCGCCGCCGAGTAGAACATAGGGCTTTAGGCCTGAGTCTTAAATTTTCAATAGAAAATGTGTTAACCTTTTACGGGGTGGTGCAGCGTTGATAGCCTCACGTCCAGCCTTCTTTGATTTCCAGGCCTATTGCCAAATAAGTGAGGTTAAGTAGTGTGCGTCGATTAGGGGTTTGAATCCGTTGACCCCATGAGGTGCAGTTGGCGAGTATATTCTACCAATGAACCATCGATGTATATCGCCCGAGGCATTTCTAACCTTAATAATGAATTTTACATTTTTCTTCCTTTTTAGGCTTTACAAATTGACTCGAATGATTTAAGCCTTTGGATACGCTTAGCTCGTGCTGCTATACGCTCCGGCTTTTTTGAAGTTGCTATTAATTCAATAGACCATATCCTGATGAAACGACCATCTCATCCAGTTGCATTACATCTTGCTTTACCATTATACTTTGCAGTATCTGAATTAGAAAGTATGTCGTATATATGTGTATATGTGGTTAAAAACTTTATAAAAGTAATCTATATTATTATTTTCAGTGAAAAGAATTAAAGCAGGTATATCCAGCGTATTCAGCGTACACTTTCTTGTCTCACTTTGCGGAGTATCTCAATGTCATGTAATATGTGAAAGAAGTACACAGACACCCAATAAAGTCTAAAGTCTAATCATATGTCCAGTCATATTCTTTCTTCTGACCTATCCTACCTAGTCTTCCCACCATGGCTTAGGTCGGTCGGTCGGTCGGTCGGTTTTCGACATAGAACTTTGCACATATGTGCGGCAGTTCAAGTCGCCACAATCTATGTAGCATGCAAAGCAAGAGAAGGAAGTAGAAGAAATGCATAATATAGACAGTAAACAGAGGTGTGAGACAAAGGAATAGTAATAACGGAGAACAAAAGTTTAATTGGAAATCATAAGTCACAAGGAGTGGATGCATCTGCGCCACTGAGAACGATTTTGAGCCATGTCACCAATTGTTTCCAACCATTGGTTTTTACCATCCCGAGGGCCCCAACCAGGAAGTCTACATCTTCCTACGTGGCTTAGATTGACTGTTGTGGATTTCATTGATTGGTGCCATGTTTTGGTTTGACCGCCGCTAGCTCTTTTCCAGCCTGACCCTATATCAGCTAACATTGCCCGTCGAGGAAGGCGATGACTAGGCATACGTAGCACATGTCCTAACCATCTCAGTCGAAGTAATTTCACAGTCTCGCCGATTGATTTCCGCGCCTTACCTAGCACTCGACGCCTAACCTCAATATTGCTCACCTTATTATACCACTTCACGCGGGAGATAGAACGCAGGCACCTATGATCGAAGACAGCTAATCTTTTCATGTCTTCTGCTCTCAGTGGCCAGGTCTCACAGCCATAAAGGAGGACGGAGCGGACTGTTGAGCAGTACACACGCCCTTTGGTCGATAGTCGGATATCGCGTCTACGCCAGAGACGGCGAAAACTGGCGAATGCGAACCTAGCCCTCTGTATTCGTGCTGAAATTTCGTCGGAGATCAACCCGTTGGGGCTGATGGTACTTCCCAAGTAATTGAAGCGGTCAACGTGTTCTACCACTTCACTTCCTATTTCTAATCTAGGGGTCGATGAAGTCCAATCCTGCAGCATCATTTTACATTTAACAGGGGCGAGTTGCATGCCAAACATGCGGAGATTGTTGCTCAGGGTGTTCAGTAGACTCTGCATTTTGTCAGAGTCCTCGCCTAGAAGGACTATATCGTCCGCATATTCTAAGTCAACGAGATTCTTCCCTGGTAGCAAGTCAATCCCTGAGTCGCTGAAGTGAGTTAGGGTTAAGTCCATTAGTACATCTATGATGAAATTGAATAGGAATGGGGATAAAGGGCATCCTTGACGGACGCCACTAGTCGTCACCACTTCAGATGACAACTCGCCATAAGCTCTCACCTGGCTGCATGAGTACGAGTAGAGTGCCTTAATCAGTGCAATGTATTTTCTCGGCATTCCCTTTACAGCCAAGCATCGCCAGAGAACCTCTCGGTCGACAGAATCGAATGCCGCCTTTAGGTCAAGAAATATAATGATTGTCGGACGCCGGTAGGAATGCCTATGTTCTAGAATCTGTCGAAGGGTAAAGATATGATCAATACACCCTCTACCTGGCCTGAAACCTGCCTGGTTTTCTCGTGTTTGTGTCTCCCGAGCACCACTTAATCTACGCAGTATTATTGAGCCTAGGATTTTAGATACTATATTAGTCAAGCTAATCCCTCTGTGATTATCACAAGACGACTTGTCCCCCTTCTTGTATATCGGGATGATCAGTGACTTACACCAACCCGATGGGACTTCCTCTGATTTCCAGACGCAGCCTAGAACCTCCGTTAACGCAGACAGTAAACTGTCTCCTCCGTACTTAAATACCATGGCTTAGTGATTTCTAAAAGAATATTTCGTCTGACTTTTTGTCCTTAGGATGGATGCAAGTCTCTCAAAGTTGTTTTTTTTGTTTTAAATAAACTGATTTTATCTATTTACCAACCAAAAGTGGTATAAAATATCAGGACAGTATTTGAAATATTTGTTGTTTGTTGTTTTCTGGAGCTGACCGACAATAAACTCTGACATAAAAGGACTCACTAGTATTTACTTCAAACAAATTTATCATGAGTGATGAAAATGTCTCTTCTTTAAAAAACACAGGAGTCAGACATGGGTGCTTATTATCACCAATCATATTCCTAATTGTGGTGGACTGGATTATGCGTGAGACAGTGGGAAACGAAAAGACAGGGATATCCTGGACCGACAAGAAGAACCTAGAAGACCTGGATTTCGTGCGTGGATGATTTATGTTTGATGTCACACGAAATCGAAGACTTACAAGCGAAAACCGACAAACTGGTCGAAGAAGCAGCAAACACAGGAAGGACTCCAGGTGAACATAGACAAGATGGAGGCTATGAAAATAACCAATCAACAACAACAACAACAGCAACATCCAGCGCCAATCACCATCAACGGGAGGGATTTGAAAGAGGTTACTTCATTCACTTATCTAGGGAGCATCGTTTCAACTACAGGAAGAACGGACGAGGATGTCAAATCGAGAATCGGGAAGGCGAGAAACACATTCATCAACCTGGAACCAATCTGGAAATCTTCGTCACTCAGCATCAACAACAAAATTCGGATTTCCAATATACAAACGTCAAGTCAGTCAGTTCTTCTATACGGGGATCAGAAACTTGGCCAGTGTGTCACAAAGAATATTTCCAACAGGTTGCAGACCTTTATTAACAGCTGTGTTCGCTCTATACTCAAGATCAGATGGCCGGAAAGAACAAGAACCAACAAGAAACTATGGGAACGAACAAAACAAGAACCAATCGCTCAACAAATAGTCAGGAGAAAGTGGAGATGGATTGGACACTTGCTGAGGAGGCCGCTGGGTGACATCGCTCGTTAGGCCAGTGCTCGAGTGGAACCCGAAAGGGAAGCGGCGAGTGGGACGTCAGTGCAAGGGTGACATGGAGGAGATCGTGTAAAGAGAAGCTGAAGCAGTATGGATGCAGATGAAAATTACAGCAGAAGACAGAAACAAGTGGAGACGTGCAGTTGAAGCCCTATGTTCCACTAGGAACCCAAGGGAACAATTATAATAATAATATACGACTAACATACTTCTATCGTTTTCCCGTTGTATTATGAGATGTATATTGATGAAGTTAATGTGTACTTACGAATTGACTGGTCTTATATAAGTTGAACTATTTTTAATGCTATATATATCCAAATCAAGTTCACTTTTAATGCGCTTCATAATAGATGTACTAATAGACTTAACCTTGACTTCAGCTACTCGAGGATTGACTCGTTACCATCAGGGAATAATCCCGTTGACTTAGAAGACGCTGACAAAATGCAAAGTCATCTGAACATCTTCAGGAGCAGCTATCTTCGGAATTTTTGGCATACGATTCACTCCTGTTAGTCAAATGTAAGATGATGCTACAGGACTGGACTGGACTGGACTACATTGACTGACTCCTAGCTAAAAGATGGGGAGTGAAGTGGTAGGGCGTGTTGACCATTTTACTTCTTTGGAGAGTTGCATCAACCCCAACAGGTTGATTGCTGACGAAATCTCAGTTCGTTTCGTATATGCCAGTTTGCACCATCTATGGCGTAGACATGATATCCGGCTGGTTATCGACCAAAGGACGTGTATACTGCTCATCAGTCCAGTTCATCCTCCTTTATGGCTGTGAGTGAGACATGGTCATTGACAGTGGAAGACATGAAAAGGTTGGCTAGCTGTCTTTGATCATAGGTGTCTGCGTTCTATCTCCCGTGTCTGTTAAGTGGTATAATAAGGTGAGCAATATTGAGGTTAGGCGTCAGTCGAGTGCTAGGTAAGGAGGGGAAATCAATCGACGAGTTTGTTTAGTTGCATCGATTACGATAGTTAGGACGTGTGTTATGCATGCCTAGCCGTCGATCGCCTTCATCGGCGGTCTATGTTAGCTGACATAAGATCGATGAGGTTGGAAAAGAGAGAGCCAGTGGTGGTCAAACGAAAATATGGCTTCATCAGTCAATGAAATGCACAACAGTTAGTTTAAACCAGCCAGTCAATAAGGGTGGCGTAGAGTACTGTCTAGTTGGGGTCCTTAGCATGTTAAAATCCAGTGACTGGAGACTATCAGTGTGATGTGGCGCAAAATCGTTCTGAACAGCGCAGATGCATTCACTCCTTGGCATCTTCCATTTTCATTGGATTGTCATGTCCTGCCATATTATATTAATCTTTCTCCCAGCACATTTATGATTTTTATAGATCGTTTGATTTTCTTTTCCTCCTGTTTTCTCTACCTTTGTGTGCTTCATGGAGTCTGGCAACTTGAACTGGTGAGCTTCTTTGCCAAGTTTAATGTTGAAACTTCATAAGTCAGTCTTGTTGTTATTTTAATGGACCAATCACTATGTGAACTTGGAATGTAGCATGTTGTGCATATATATATATATATAGTCTTTTTTGAAGAACAATCGCTTCTTTTCCGTAATTCTCATGTTTTTCTTCTCTCTCCGCTTTTCTTTTTAGTTTGTTTGGAATTGTCAACGCGTATGCTCCAGATAGATCCGTCTAGTGAATATGCTGTTTATTTCATCAATCGGATCCTTACAATTCAACCAAGTTTACATGAAATGGTTACAGATTTATTCTTACAAAGGTGGTAAAACGTTTCTTACTTTTTTGTTTTTACTAATATGAATTAATTATTTTTACTCTTTTCCAGGCCAGATATATTCAATCAATTACCGGCAAGTAAAGAAGCTGAACAGGTAAGCAGATAAATATGTTTTCTATAGTTTTGGTTTGTAAGGATTAGTTATGTTTTACGAGTTGATCACGGACTGATATCAGTTAGAGAACCATTGAAAACCAGGGAGTACTGGACAGCTACTGTTTCATCCTAGTTTGGGAATCATCGGCAGTACGCACCCACTGGGATTCGAACCCAGGACCTTCAGGTCCCACTGGCTGAATGGTATACGAGCTTGCCTTGTAACCGGAAGGTTACTGGGTTCGAATCCCAGTGGGTGCGTACTGCCGATGATTCCCAAACTAGGATGAAACAGTAGCTGTCCAGTACTCCCTGGTTTTCAATGGTTCTCTAACTGATATCAGTCCGTGATCAACTCGTAAAAGATAAATATGTAATCAGGATTTCAATGTAAATATCGTCAGGAAGCGATGTTAGTTAGAGAGGGAATCACTGAAAACCCGAGGAACACTGCACAGCATGTGTGTGCACTTATGACCTACTAGGGGTTGACACCGAGGGATTTTTGGGTCCCTGGTCCAGCCTGTTGACGACTCAGACATCAATCAGTGCGGAATATGAACCCGTAAGGCTTATTACTAGGACTACTCGATGGATGTCCTGAAGTTCCAGTGGGAAGTGGTTGACGAGGTTCGCCTTAGCTCCCAGTGGGGCTCCCTAACCGATGTTGATTCGTGATGAAATCTACATTGAAATCTGCATATTTGATAAGATCCTTTTTGTTTTGTTTTCTCATAATACATTATTATTATTATTATATTATTGTTTCCTTTAATTCCTAAAGGAACATAGGGCTTCAGCAGTGCGTCTCCATTGCGTTCGGTTCTCTGCTAGAGTCTTCACCTGGCTTCAAGTCTGCCCACACGTTTTCATCTCCTCTTCACATGATCTCCTCCAAGTCACCCTTGCACTAAAGACCAACTCGCCACTTCCCTTGCTGTTTCCATTCGAGGGCTTGTCTAGTGATGTCACTTGATGCATTGTTTGCTCAGAGTATGGCCAATCCAATCTATCTCCATTTCTTCCTGCCTATTTGTTTCACAATCGGTTCCTGCTGGGTTGGTTCGCTCCCAGCGATCTCTGTTACTGATCATTTCTGGCCGGCCATCTGATCTTGAGTATTGAGCGAAGACAACTGTTGATGAAGGTCTGTAGTTTGTTTGAAATGCTCTATATGATGCGCTGGCCAAGTCTCTGATCCCTATAGTAGCAGTGACTTCGCATTGGAGTTGAAAATCCGGATCTTATTTTTGATGCTGAGTGCTGTTGACCGCCACGCAGACTTGAGAGTAGTGAAAGCTTGTCTTGCTTTTCCGATTCTTGCTTTGATATCCTCGTCAGTTCCGTCCGCCTGTAGTTGGAACGATGCTTCTCAGTTAGGTAAAAGAGGTTGTTTCTTTCAGGTTCCTCCCATTTATGCTGATCGTTGTCTGTTGTTGTTGTTGTTCTTGTCCAGGAATCTTTATTACCTCTGTTTTCTCTCATAATACAGATTTATGCGATTTTATTATTTTCCTTCTTTGTGTGACAATTGAACTAAACCCTTGCCTAAATATAAGACTATTCAGTTTCTGGTATAAATCCTGAGACATTTGATAAGTGAGACTATCTGTTTTGATGTCGCTAAGTGTTTAAATACGAACGCCACTTCAAATTGTATCTATCAATTCAACTGCGCTGATGGTGGATGGAGTTATATTGGCCGTTGCTCTAGGAACTTGATTTTTCGTGCTCGAGAACATATCCCACTATGGCTAAGTAAAGGTGTAGTTAAAACTATTAACAGCTCGATATTAGAACATCTGGTGCAAACCGGTCACAAAGCCAGCGTAGAAGAATCCTCCTCTATAATATACCGGGTGCCTAACAGATTCCCAAAATCATCGAAGCACCGCATGCTCCAAACAGCAGAGGCTATTACAATTCGCCTCAAACAACCAGTGCTCTGTGTTCAAAAGAAACAAGTTCAGCCATTACTACTTCTGCCCTGGTCGGCCTTCAGTAGAGGCTATAAACTCATGAATTTGTAATATTATTTTTCATAGTTTTTCTGACATTCAGCTTATTTTATTTTGATGCTGTAGAACTGTAATGTATTGGTATTATTGATTCGATGTTATTTAAACAACATTAATGTCGTTCATAACACTAATTCATTCATTCACTTCAATGTGTATATAACTGCAGAGCCTGATGATGAAGTTATCGAAAAGAGTACTCTTTGTTCCGTGTCCATTCTTTTGAAAATTTTAATGGGCATTTTTAATCAGATAATGAATGCTTTGATAATTTCTTAGTTGGATGATTCCCTGACCCGAAACCACTAAATTCTAGAAAACTACTCACACAGAGTAGGAGGCTTGGAAATGTGTATTTCCAAAACAGGCGAAATACTAAGTGATTAAAAGTTCAAAAATACATGACTTATTATTATTATTCCCTTGCATTCCGAGTGGAACATAGGGCTTCAACAACACATCTCCACTTTATTGCATTTCCTGCCGTCCTCCTTAGCTGGATCCACGATTGTCCATAATCTCTCATCTCCTCCTTCCCAAACGATCTCCTCCATGTCACCCTCGCACCGACTACCCACTGGTAGCTTCTCATCGGGTTTCTACTCGAGCGACGGCCTCCTCAAAGTATACCCGATCCATCTCCATTTTCTCCTACATATTTGTTGAGCAATCAGCTCTTGGTTGGTTTGTTCCCAGCCAGAGTTTCTTGTTGCTAATTCTTTCTGATCGACCATTTGATCTTCAGTATTGTGCCTGGCGAAGGGGGAAGCTGTTGATGAAAGTCTGGAACTCCCAGAGTCGGAATTGAAACGCCTACTGCAATTCCAATTTGACAACACTGTTTACCGCCAAATAGATAGTGTAGCTATGGGTAGTCCATTTAGCCCTGCTTAAGCAGTTAACTTCCAACCGACGGTTTTTAGGTCCGAATCCCCCTCTGTATACTCTGAACCCGGGCATCATGATGATGATGTGGGTAAAGGAGAATAATGCTCTGGAAGGCTTCGTGTGCTTTTAGAAGTGTGTGGGTGTTTGTTATTTCCCGGCTGCTCACACTGTGAAAGTTGATTGGTTCTTCGGGTACCTGAAACAGAAAGAGGGTTAGTGTTGCGTGACCACAGAGCTCAGGGGACAACTGCTTGAAGCTGGCCGGTCACACGACCTGTATAATTGGTTCTCACGGTTACGGACCACCGTAGGGTAAGTCGGGATGTAGAATTTTCGGGGTCGACCTTTTCTAACCCCTTCTTTCCAGAGTGGAGAGCATACTGCTGGCATGCTGGTCATCTGAGGGAAACACCTTACTGCTGTTACATCCCTGTTCCACAGCAGTATGACTTTGCCCACAGACCCCTAGCATAGTGTAACAAAAAATTCTTACACTAAGCCGGTAACTGCTTTTAGTCAAATCTCTATCCTAGCAACCTTCCTGGCATGGTAGGACCTGCGGGAACAATAGTTCCAGCCAGTTTAGCTTGTTAGTTCATTACGATGTGCAAGCCCGACCACCACCATGTCAAGGTAGCAGCTATCGGTCGGGGCGGGCATCATAGTCGTATCAGTCTGGTGGTGTGGTGGAGATCTAGACTATGAACTATTATTATTTACCGACCTACGTTCACTTTTATTTTGTTAGTTTTGTTCTATTTAGTTTTTTTCATGTTTATTTTGTGTGTGTGCATGTGTGTATATAGGTCGATCAAGAAATACAAAAGATTCGAACTATTTATCGTAAACAAAAGGATGCTGAAATAGAATCACAAATAATCCCAGTGATTAAGTTTCCATCACCATTGAAACACTTAAGGTCAGTCTACAAAAAAAAAACAACTTATTATTTCCATTAACTTGATCCCCTTTGTGTGTTTTTTTCTTATATTACCGAAATGGACTATAGTATACACATACATATTTGCATGAAATCGACTGGTTTGAACTGATTCGGTTGTCTCTGTGTGAGCTTAGTCAAACAGGGTACACGGCTGCTGATGAGCTGGGCTCTGGTGTTTAGATCACTTCAATATGGCTAGAGAGCACTACTGATTGATATATGAGTTGCGTGCATCTACTCGTCTGAATCAATCAGTAGTATGTATAGTTTTGTGCAAATATGCTTGATGTTCTTAATTATCATTTATCGTATCAAGCAGATCGCATACTGTGATATGAATAATTACGGTTTCCAAAGGAAAGTGTGGTGAAAACTTCATCCCTTTGAACTGTGTACACTGCGAATTGGTAATTTGATTTAAAGTATATACACATTCGGTGGCGATGTTCAGTTTCTGCAATATTCAACCTGTCTCATAGTTGTGCTGGTGCATGACGTACGACATCTAGTGAAAGAGCGTTTAACACTTGGACTAGTGGACATGGAGATCCAAACGTATGGGCTCTAGGGTCCGAAAGGAATGAACAGCTAACGAACCTGATTTTGGTCACTGGCGACTATGGGCAAGCGCTTCTTGAGGTTCCTCTGCTGTCTTGTGGATCAAAATTCAAGTCAAGAGTTTGGAGAGAGTGATCTCTTAAGAAGACAACCATTTTGGTCATCCGGTCAGTATGTCAATTCCTACACAGAGTGTGGTCTTTCTCTTGATGCCTAGCCTATATTGTACCAAGCTCGTGTTCAGGTAGTAGTAGTAGTAGTGTAGTGAGAGCTGTATGCTAGCCAAAATTGGTAAACAGTAATATACGTCAATGTTTACGTCCCAAATCTTGATCATGAGAAAAAAACAAGAACAAAGACTAACTCAACAACCAATAACAGCAGACTTTGCGTGGGCGGATGCGATTCGCAGCTATATGGTCTGACCTTCAAAGAAACGGCCACAAAGAGATGACAGAATAACCTTCAGTGAGAAAACAACCAATCAGAAGACGCTGTTTCTCTGCTAATAATAACGCTAATAATAATGTACATAAAAATCTATAAATATCTGTTGATTTTCTCAATAAACGATCTGTTACCTAGCCCTTGTCTTCTGTCGTTACAGTAGTAGTAGTGTAACGACAGCAGGCAAGAGTCAGGCAACAGATCATTTATTAAGGAAATCAACGCATATTTATATATTTCATGTACATTACTATGGATATTTAAGCAAACAAACACAGTCTTCCGATTGGTTGTTTCTCACGTAAAGTTAATCTTTCATCTATTTGTGACTGTTTCTTGAATGTCAAATCCTCTATATGTTAACTGCATCCGCCTACGCAAAGTCTGCTCTGGTCGGTTTTGAATCAATCTTTGTTCACATTTTCTCACGACAAATCTTGGGAACGTAAATATTGACGTAAATTACTGTCTATCAATTTGGCTAGTAGACAGCTCTCACCACAGTAGTAATGCGATTTAGAGTGACGTCTAAAGCTTCACCTCAGTAAAGCGAAGACCAGATAGTGGCAAAATTACCCACTGACGACACACCGATAAACTAAGCTCCAGACATCTGATCATCGTTTCATTATCGTTTATGTGAAGAACTTCTAAATACTGACTTTTGATTGGTGTACAATGCATTTCGCCTTCATAATTTTCATTAAATGTAAATTCTGTACTGTTTGAAGATCCTATGTATGTTGACTTGTCAGCTAGACGTGTATTAAAACTAGTGAGTTTCTCATTGTGGTAGTTCTTGTGTAACGACAGAAGACAAGGGCTAGGCAACAGATCCTTTATTGAGAAAATCAACAGATATTTATGGATTTTTATGTACATTATTATTCGTTATTATTAGCAGAGAAACAGCGTCTTCTGATTGGTTGTTTTCTCACTGAAGGTTATTCTGTCATCTCTTTGTGACCGTTTCTTAGAAAGTCAGACCATATATCTGCGAAGTATATCCGTCCACGCTAAGTCTGCTTTGATTGGTTGTTGAGCTCTTCAAGGTTAGGCTTTGTTCTTGTTTTTTCTCATGACCAAGATTTGGGACGTAAACATTGACGTAAATTGCTGTCTGCCAATTTTGGCTAGCAGACAGTTCTTACCACACTTGTATGTATAGCGTCTAACAAAAAAACCCACACAGATCGTATTATTTATCAGGCAATGAATAAATAAGATGTTTGGTGAAAGAAAAGCAAAGCATATCTTACAAAATCAATTATCTGCTCTGTGTATAATTGAATTTAAACAACAAATGACTTTTGCAAAACAGTTTTATGTTATAGGCGATTGTTATTTTCATATGGTTACACTTATTGATGAAATCTTTCAGGATATGTCATCGAATCATTATTCAGTGGACTTCTTAGTATTTGTCTGCTGAAGTCACTAAAGTATACTTCGTGTCTCTTCAATCAATTTTTAACTTATTTGTTGCTCGAGTTTCATTGCCCATAACATCCAAATTGATGAGTCCTAAATGAAACGAAACGTGTACTTTCTGGGTTCCTCTGTCATCCCGGAGGTAATTGACAGAAAGCCATTAGAGTACTGATGTCCCATCTAACCTGCCTCATGCATTATTGTAGTGAGTAACGTCACTAGTGAACTATTCCCGGTTGATGATTGGACTCCTGTGGGACTACAACAAAAAAATCGATTGATCACTGGAGAGTAATCAACCAGCGTATAATTCATCAGTGTTTGGTTTTGTCCAAGTGGTACTAGAGCTGAGTTACCCGGAAACGGTTTTTTCATGTATCAGGCTATGAGCGACATCTGTTGTATGTGAAGAGTGATGATATTACTTAGTTGCTGAGGGAGCGGGCGGACTGTTGAAGCTGTCACGTGTTGGCTTATTCATTACAGTTAAATAATCTGAATACAGGATTTCACCACGAGCTGGTATTGGTTAGAGAATCACTGGACAACCTGGGAGTATTAGTCAGCCGATTTGTCCCACTTCTGGACTCCTCATCAGTATGCATCTACTGGAAAGGGGGCTCGAACCAGGGACCTTGCGGTTGAAAGGTTAGCTCGTAGACCAACGGCCAATGAATTCCAACTTCTACCAATTCATGATATAGCGCTACCATTAGCCAAAGTCATTGGCGAGTATTTGTCCTGACACTCGACCTTCTGTACCCCACTGGTCACGACTTCCAACTACCACCCAGGTAACTACCTACCTACCCGGTCAGTCACTTGTGAGCATCAGATTGATGTTAAAGTGTTGGTTTGTAGGGAATTTATTGGCTACAGCGTTTCTTCATGAGCTGATACCAGTTAGAAAACTATTGGATAACTACCAGGGAGTACTGGACAGTTGTTTTGTGTCCTAGTTTGGGACTCTTCAGCAGTAATTACACACCCGACGGGGTTCTGACCCCAATATCAGTCTGAATACACTAGTTAGAATAATTGCAATTAATACTGGAGGATATCCAGGTCTACGTAGCTATGGGAGTTGAAAAACCCTGATTCCGAACCTATGTGGTATACATGGGCTCCAGAATCCGAAAGCATCCAATAGCTTACGAACCTGTTTGAGTCATAGAAAACCTTGGGAATGTAGCACCCAACACTACTTCACTGTCCTGTAGACCAGAATTCAAGTCAAAGGCTCGCAGGGTGGCCCTTTAACATAACTAGCTGCTCCAGTCTGGGCAAGTATCTCAGTTCTCACACAATCTATATGCAGTTTTGTTTGACTAATTTCTTGGTACCTATAATGTATCGAATTTGTGTTTTAGTAGATCAATAAATTAATTAATGCTTCCTTTCGAGATGATTTTGATTTCATCGTTTGCTTCGTTTCAAAGTTATTTTATTTTGTTATTATTATGCTTAGTTGCATTTGTTTTTGTTTCTATTTTCTCCCCCTTAGCTGGTTGCATCTGATTAAAGAGACAGTGACAATGTATGATCATTTACAAGCAGAATCTGTAAGCTTGAATCTCTTTTTCTACGTTAGAGCTTATATTTTTAATTCTCTTTTTTTTATCGTTAAATGATGAGGGGACGACTTATCAGTCCGTAGTCATTCATTCTTTTGCTTTCTTCCTAGTGGAATGAATGCCAGGCTTCAAACTAGAGCTGTTTGTAGTTTTAGTGGCGGTGACATTACGTTTTACGAGACGACGGGTTATTGTTGCTTGCCTCACGGTAAACTTTCCCCTTTTATGTGGCTTATTACCCCCCGGCTAAGCAAGGTCTCGGGAGTGCGTCGGCCGAGAATGGTACTCGGACCACGTTAGGTGTGGTTGCCGCGAGCATTCTACCACTGAACCGCCAATACACCTCAGTTTGTAGTAGAATATTTTTATTCCAGTTAAGGCTATTGGATGAAATCATCCATTGACGACTACTGATGTTGATTTTGAAGAAATCATAGAAAATACGAACATCGTCGGGTATTTCCAAATCAGTATTCGAATGAATTCTTGAAGTTAAATAAAGGTTTTGAAAAGTGCATTGAAATGCTGTACCTTTTACTAGATGTCTGGTTGCTCGACTACGAAAGACTGGGTCACCAGTTCGACGAACTCTGCCCTACCTACCCACCTATTGAGGTTTGGTCAATCCGATCGTCTCACGACAATATATTCATGACAGGGAATATACACGTTAGATCATAGGAATTATTAAAAAGACAGTTGGAGCGGAGAAAATGTTCTTTTCGACAATGTCATTAACTAGTCTGTACATTCGTGTATTTATGGTAGATGAGTGGGAAAGCTGCAGAACTGTTTCCGGTCAAAGGTCAAATTAATAAAATTACAAAGTGTAATAAACAGGAGAATCAGTATTGAGAAAATTGACTTTTTTACGATGGCCATGTTAGGGACAATGGTTGGACGTGTGTTTCTTTTGAATACACAGCGCGGGCTTGAACTTTTGGGTCGCTAGTGCTTAGACTGATCCCAGATGCATTGATTTCACTCCCTTCGAGGTGTTTGGTTGAATCCTGTATATGACTGAAGGGACTTTTGAAATGGAGCTGAATGTCCTGATGAGTTCATCAGATGTTTTGTTACCGAAGTATATGCAGACTTGCGTCCTCCTTTTGTTAGCTAGGTAGACTGGATAATGTTCCCGAGATCGTTTTACAAGCGGACGCATGTGATGGCCAATGTACTGAGCTCCCGAGGAAGGAGTAAGTGAAATGGTATATGCATGTCGCCAAATGTAGGCGACAGGTTGTGTTTGGTATGCTGGTTGATTAGTTTCCTGCAAGAAAATGTCACTTGCTCACCCGCTAAGCATAAATACATGAATGTACAGCCCAGTTGATGACTTCGTCAAAAAGAGACGATTTTCTTCGCTACAATCGTCGTCTTAGTATTCATGGAAAATTTGTTCATAGTCCACTAGTCACCTTATGAATCATTCTTCAATGTGTACAGGTGGTTTAACGTCTTCAAGGGTATACATGACAATACAAAGGATGTAATCCGTTAGATATAATAATATTTAGAATTATTTATTTATTTATTTTGATTATAGCTTGAAACCACACCGTATTTTTGGTACAAGTATGGAATTTTCAGCATGTGATATCGGTAGCCCAAATTTTGCAGGTCGGCAGGGGAAGGAACCCCGGACCATGTGCATGGTCAGCTAGAGTCCTAACCGCTACTGCCACTAACATTGAATTTAAAAATCATCTCCTTTTTATAGTCACTTTCATGATTATAATCTCTTCTTCTTCTTCTAATACTGTTTTTGTCTCTCTTCTCTAGACGATCCATTTAGTCCTTGACCTATCGTCTTTATGGTCTGAAGATCTACTGCTTAGAGAGATAAAAGAATCGTCAACAAGTAATGTAAATGTACATTCCAATTTGAAACCAATTGAACAGTCGGAAAGTAATAATAATAATAATAATGCTACTACTACTGGTCAGATAGAAGATCCTCATATCACAAAGGTTCCATCAAGTACAGATACAACGTCTGAATTAGTTAAAGATGATGTAAATGAATTCAATATGGAAGCGGGCAACGATGACTTGGCTACTGGATTTGAGAAACGTCGTTCTGCACGGGTAAATAAGTGTCTATACAATCTCTACACGTTATTTTTATGTATATAAATATGTCGTTTAATGATATAATGTAATAATCTGTGGAATGTTCAAGTATTGGTTTTGTAGGGGATTTCGTTTAATTCGTTTCAGGATTTCATCATGAGCTGGCTATCAGAAGGTCGTGGGTTCGTACTGCTGAAGAGTCCAAAAACTAGGCTGATGAAACAGCTGTTCAGTACTGCTCCCAGTTGGTTTGCCAATGGTTCTCTAAGTGATATGTCAGCTCATGATGAAATCCTCCAACCAATCTATGGAATGGTTTATTTTTCAAATTTAAAACAAATTGGAGTTAATTTGTTTTTTTTGTTTTGTTTGTTGGATAATTACTTATCTTTTTGAATTGACCGCTTAGAAATTTGCACAAAGTTAGTAGACCCTTCTTCGGCTTCACAAGATTTTTTTATGACAATCAAATTGTCTCCAGAGTGTAGCGTTAATAAAACTATCTGTCTTATAGTAGAAATTCTTTAAATTGACTTTGTGATCAATCTTAAACAATTCCATATTAGTTTGTTTGTTAGGTGTATCACACAGTGATGAAACAGTATTATACGTACTGGATGACAAAGTTTCGAACACAATTTATTGCTGTTCATAATCATATCATCAATTATAATCACCCGACTTTGAAACTTGACTTTTATAGTTTTCTTTGTCCTCTCCTATTTGTCATCGTAGGAGTAGTAGAATTTTCTAGATATCCATCTGGATAGGTGTTGAATCATTCCTGTTGCACGTGTATGCGGTTGATTCGATAAACAAAGCTTCTGTTATCAATCTCTCCCTCCACCCTGTGACATTAGATTTTAAAACTGTCATCTTATCCTATCATCCCATTGTATGGTTGTGAATAATTGCATGTGGTGAGTGCTACAGCTGAATTATTCTCTAGATTTCTTACCGTCTTATTTGGGTCTAATAATCTAGATTTTGCTAGGCTTTTATGCTCGGCTAGTCTGACTGACTGCCCCTGTTCTACTACTTTGACTTATGTATTTGAACTGACAATCATTCCAGCAGAGTATTAGATAAACTAAATTGTTTTGTTTTAAAGGCTCCACAGAATTGATCCTTCAACCGACAAAGCTTGTTTCTAATTGAGTTTGTGAGTTTGAATGTCAGCCACTTTTATTCCTGTCTGGTTAAGAATTCTGCGTAAGGTGGTTTCCGAGGTTCCTTCCTTGTATGGATGGAATTACTACTGATGATTTAGATTCCTTATTGTTGGTGTTGTCTTGCGCACATTTGATTTGCATTTCGTTATTAATAGGTCAAACTAGTTGAACAGGGGCAGTCAGACTAACCAAGCATAAAAACCTAGCAAAATGTAGATTAGTTGAATCACACAACCGTACGATACGATGGGATAGGATGACAGTTTTAAGATCTAATGTAACACGGTGAATGGCGGGAGAGATTGTAACGGAAGCGTTATGCTCATCGAATCAACTGCAAATACATGTGTAGTAGGAATGATTCAACACCTGTCCACTCAGATATCTGGAAAATTCTACTACCCCAATGACGACAAATAGGAGCGGACAAAGAAAACTATAAAACTCAGGTTTCGAAGTCGTGTGATTATAATTGCTGATATGATTATGGACACGAATTAAATGTGTTAGAAACGTTATCCAGTTGTTAATACTGTTTCATCACTGTGTGATACATCTAATTAACAAACTAATATAGAATTACTTACTACTACAGTGCCCAAGTTCTACACATATATCAATCTTAAACAGATATTTGCATAAGTTTACTGTCACTTATATGTTATATGAAGTTGAAATAGTATTTTTTTAATGGGGGATGTATTCGAAGTACAACGCATTGGCAAAATAATCTCTATCAAGTGATGTTTTGCAGGGTTGTGATCACGAGTTGCCATCAGTTAAAGAACCTTTGTAAGCTACCTAGCCAGCTACCAAGGAGTACTGAACAACTGCTGTTTTGCCCAGGTTTGGAAAACTCCTGAGCAATATACTTCCATCGGAGTCCGAACTCTAGAACAAGGCGGCAAGCTCCATAGATTATTCAGCCTTTAGGACTCAATCCAATGACCGATGAATTCCAACTTCGACCAATTCGCGATATATGTAACACGACCGCCAGCCAATATCATTGACAAGTAATTGATGTCAGGTCGTGGTTAAACCTGTAAAATAATGTTAGTTTGAAGTCAAATATGTCCAAACCAAGTTCACTTTTAACGGTTTGAAAAAATTTGGGCATTGGGTATATGATATTCATTATAATAAAGGTTTTTGTATTTCCCAATGAATGAAAAACAAAACGATATTGTTTTTACTGACGTTTCGCTATTTAATGCTAATAGCTTTATCAAAGTATTATTAAACCGGAATTTACAAAATCTCAGCATATATATAACAAACAGTTAGGGAGTGAGAAAATAGATATAGGTCAAGTTAAAGGGACATATTGAAAGTCAAAATAACAATGAAGATCACTAAACCAAATAACAAAGGTAATGGTACATCTGTTATGATATCAAAATAAAGTTTACTAACTTGATCATCGTTCGTCTGTCTGGGGGCATTTTTAGTTGTCAAGTTGGTGAATTGGTAAAGATAACAAAACCATCATGTGTAGATTGTTGGATATGATAAGTGTATAAGATTATAAAAGCAGCGTCTGTTTACATAATGAAAGTGCTTATCACATTCGTGTTGGTTTTGTCACTTGATGGGGGGAGGGAGGTGTTGTAACCAGGTCAGATTCTGTTTTAGTCCATCATTCCTATTCAGGCAATTTTGATTCCACTTGATATAAAGTGCTTCTGATAATATTAGACGTTCTTTGTGATTTCTGAAGTTTTTCTGGATTATTTCAATATTGTCGAAATCAATTTTGTGGCCTGATTCTACAGTATGTAGACTTATGGCTAATGATTTTTCAAGTCTTTGTAGTTCAACAGGATTTCTCAGTGGTCGAAGAGATGGACATCAACAGTCGTCATTCCATATAGAGCAGAGACGTCAGACGATATCAGAGGAGTACTCAATCAGCTCGACATTAGAGTTTTCTTCAAAACATCAAACACACTTCAAAGCAACCTTGTCCATATAAAAGACCAAGTCCCCAAAGATTCTCTATATAATTGTGTCTATAAAATAAAATGCTTGGAATGTGATGCGATATACATCGGACAAACATCTCGAGAAATCGAAATCAGAAGAAATGAACACCGTAGAGCATCTCTTCGACCACCGAGAAATCCAACTGAACTGAACTACATACTTTATGACTGTCTGTCTGTCTGGATTCATCATAGAACTTGGCACAGAAGTGCAGCAGTTCGAGTTGCCACGTTCCAAATAGCACACAAAGGTAGACAAGAAAATGAGTGAAGAGAATCACAATAGAGTTTTGACAAGTATAAGAGTGAAACAGAATGAGTAATGGTAGAAAGGAATATGAAAGATTACAGAGACTGAATACATCTGCGTAAGCCATCGACAACGATTTTGAGCCATGTCACCTATTGTCTCCAGCCACCATTGATTCCTAGAGTCCCGAGGGTGGGCCCCAACTCGGAAGTCTGCATCTCCCTACCTGACTCAGTTTAACTGTCAAGGATTTCATGGATTGATGAGGCCATGATTTTGTTTGGCCACCACTTACTCCTTTCCAACCTTCACCTATATCAGCTAGTAATGCTCGTTGGGTGGGGGGAGGCGATGGTTAGGCATGCGCAGCACGTAACCTAGCCATCTCAATCTATGTAACTTTATAGCCTCTTCGATTGATTTTCCCTCTTTGCCCAACACTCTACGCCTAACATCAACATTACTTACCTTATTATACCACCACCTAACGTGAGAAAGAGATCGTAGACATCTATGATCGAAAACAGTCAACCTTTTCATGTCTTCAACTCGTATTGGCCATGTTTGAGAGCGATAGAGAAGGACGGAGCGAACTGCTGGTTGATAGCCGGATGTCACGCCTACACCAGGGATGGTGTAAGTTAGCGAAAGCAGCTCGAGCTTTTTGGATTCGTGCTGAGATTTCGTCACCAATCAGTCCGTTGGTGGTGATACAACTTCCCAAATAGGTGAAGTGGTCAACATGTTCTATCACTTCACTCCCTATCACTACTAAGCTAGGAGTTGACGTAGTCCAGTAACTGTAAGTCAAAACAGTCTTTCATTACTCTGAAATCAGTGTGGAAACCTGCTGCAGTCAACATAAGATCCTTCGTGTTTTAAACACACAAGTCACTCCATGCTTCTATATACTTCACACATTTGACGCTCACGCTACCGAAAGCATTCCCAAACAAGCCGGTATAAACATTCATTGGCAGCTGCCTTCTCTGTATCTATACCGAAGATCAGATTGCCGGCCAGAAAAGATGAGAGACATGGAATTCTGCCCGGTCATCTAGTAGAACCCGAATGCGAAACAACAATTTAGGCTGACATTAGTTAGAGAACCATTGGAAAACCACCAGAGAGTACTGGACAACTGTTTCATCCTAGTTTGAGACTCTTCAGCAGTACGCACCCACCGGGATTCGAACCCAGGACCTTCTGGTCACAAGGTGAGCTCGTATACCATTAAGTCACTGGGACCCGATCCAATGGCCCATGAATTCCAATGGTGGTTTTCCAATGGTTCTCTAACTAATGTCAGCTCATGATGAAAATCCTGTAACCAATCAAATCCCTACAAACCAACATTTGAAAAACAATTTAGGCGTTGGTCCGAGGTGTGACAAGGAGGAGATCGTGTGAAAAGCAAATGACAACTCTAATAGGCAGTCATGAAGTGAGCTGAAAGATACGGTGGAGGACGGAGTGAAATAGCGGTGTCCGGTTGAAAGCCCTGTATTCCACTCGGAACCCAACAGAATTGTAATAATCATAATTAATTAATTCGGTCAATTTCAATGTAGTATTCTAAGCATACATTACACTTTTCCTTATCGTCGCATCGGTTCATGAAGCGACAGTGTCGTGAAGCTTTGATTTTGCTTACACGTTATGCATCGTATGTTGGTTTTTTTCTTCTTCAGAATGTTCATAATTTCTTGTTGTTACCATCGTTTCGTTCATTCATTCAATTTTTCTAGGTTAGAACATGTTTTGATTTAAGTGATGGCTTAAATCGTTATTGTTCAAGACGATCTGTAACAACGGAATTAGATAAAGTTGTCTATGATAAGTGTAAAGCATCTTCTAGCGAGAAGTTGACCAGTTCACAGAAAGAAGGCAACAATCCAAATGATCGTTTCAAGCTGGCTGATAAATTTCAAACTCTTTTACCTCAAATATTCAGGTAATAAGTTGAAGGATGGATTGTATTTATTTATGCTTTGATTGCATTCTGATTACTTCGTCAGTATTTTTACTTTCAGAGAGAAAAAATATGTCTGAGTAGTGGCATGATTTGAAATGCTGTGATAATATTGTAACGGTCTGTCTGTCTGTCTGCTTTCGACATAGAACTTTGCACATATGCGCTGCAGTTCAAGTCACCACACTCCACTCCTTGTAGCACACAAAGCAAGAGAAGAAAGTAGGAGAAATGCATAATATAGACAGTAAACAGAGGTGGGAGACAAAGGTATAGTAATAACGAAGTACAAAACAGTTTCATTGGAAATCATAAGACACAAGGAGTGGATGCATCTGCACCAGCCATTGAGGACGATTTTGAGGCATGCAACGAATTGTTTCCATTGGTTTTTACTGTCTCAAGGACCCCAACCAGTCAGGAAGTCTGCACCTTCATACGTGGTTTAAACTAACTGTTGTAGATTTCATTGACCGCCGCTAGCTCTTTTCCAGCCTGGCCCTATATCAGCTAACATTGCCCATTGTCGAGGAAGGCGATGACTAGGCATACGTAATACATATCCTAACCATCTCAGTCGATGTAATTTCACAGTCTCGCCTATTGATTTCCCCTCCTTACTTACCATTCGACCGAGGCCTAACCTCAATATTGTTCACCTTATTATACCACCTAACAGACAGGGGAGATAGAACGCAGGCACTTATGATCGAAGACAGCTAATCTTTTCATGTCTTCTGCTCTCAATGGCCAGGTCTCACAGCCATAAACGAGAACGGAGCGGACTGTTGAGCAGTACACACATCCTTTGATTGACAGTCATGTGGATATCACGTATGCGCCAAAGATGGCGTAAACTAGCAAATGTGAAACTAGCCCTCTGTATCCGTGCTGAGACTTCGTCAGAGATCAACCCGCTTGCGTTGGCTGATGGTGCTTCCCAAGTAAGTGAAGCGGTCAACGTGCTCTACCACTTCACTTCCTATTTCTAATCTAGGAGTGGGTGTAGTCCAGTCCTGTAACATCATCTTGCATTTGGTGGGAGCGAATCGCGTGCCAAATATTCGTAGATTGCAGCTCAAGGTGTTCAGTAGACTCTGCATTTTGTCAGCGTCCTCGCCTAGAAGGACTCTATCGTCTGCATATTGTAAGTCAACGAGATTATTCCCTGGTAGCAAGTCAATCCTTGAGTCTCTGAAGTGAGTTAGGGTTAAGTTCATTAGTACATCTATAATAAAGTTGAATAGAAATGGGGATAATGGGCATCCTTGACGGACGCCACTAGTCGTCACCACTTCAGATGACAACTCGCCATAAGCCCTCACCTGGCTGCATGGGTACGAGTAGAGTGCCTTAATCAGTGCAATGTATTTACTCGGCATTCCCTTTACAGCCAAGCATCGCCAGAGAACCTGTCGGTCGACAGAATCGAATGCCGCCTTTAGGTCAAGAAATGTAATGATTGTTGGACGCCGGTAGGAATGCCTATGTTCTAGAATCTGTCTAAGGGTGAAGATATGATCAATGCACTCTCTTCCTGGCCTAAAGCCTGCCTGGTTTTCTCGTGTTAGTGCCTCCCGAGCACCACTTAGTCTACGCATTATTACCGAGCCTAGAATGTTAGATACCATATTAGTCAAGCTAATCCCCCTGTGACTATCACAGTAGAGAAGAGGCTTGGTGATGGAGTGTTTATTTGAAATTTCACATCTCAATATAGGAAAATTATGTACACCTTATCTTCAAGTCATCTTTTGCACAGATCTTCCGTGTTGTTGTGCTACTTCTGCACTGCATATTGTCTTTTTTTGTCTTCTTTTCATATCTTCCTTGTTTTTCCGCACTACACTGGTTCATTTGCTCTCTTTTTTTGATATCAAATATCTTTCTCTGCTATTTGATATTTCTGTACCGATGAATGTATCTTTATATACTACTGATAAATGTCAAAAGTAGCACACGCCACAATATTACTGATCAAGACACAATGCGTAAGTGGCATGCAGGTCTCTCAGTGTGTTGCCTTAGTGACCTGCCCCTCAGGAACGGGTGGATGGTGTGTCGCTAAAACTGAAAGCTAATCCCCTTCGTTTCAAATATCAAAGCGTTGTCCGTAAGGCTGTGGCGAGAGCTGTCTACTAGCCAAGTGGTTGACAGTAATTGAGGTCAATGTTTATGTATCAAATATTAGTCATATTGTGGTGAGAGGTGGTTGCTAGCCAAATTGGTTGACAGTAATTGAGGTCAAGGTCAAGACGGACAGGCGGATACAGGACTGACACAGCCACAAGAGATGCAAGGTTAACTTTGTGTGAGAAACAAGCAATCAACAGACTGTATTTTCTACTAACATTAACCTACAATAATGTACATCAAAATCTATAAATATGTGTTGATTTTCCGTAATAAACGTTCTGTTGCCTGGCCCTTGTCTTCTGTTGTTACAAGGCTACTGAGTCAAAATAGCCGTATCTTGTGCAACCGGTATCCAATTGTTATTTCGTGTAATATACGCATTATTAGATCATAGGAATTATGAAAAAGACGGTTGCAACAAAGACAACTTTCTTTTCGATGAATTCATCAACTAGACAGCTATATATTCGTGTATTTATGTGGTAAATGGGTGATAAAGTTCCAGAATTATTTCCAGTCAGAGGTCAAATTAATAAATTACAAAGTGTAATAAGTGACGTGTTTCTTTTGAATGCATCATGTGAGATTGAACTTTTGGGTTGTTAGGGCCTTAGCTATTCCCAAGTGCCTAGATTTCAGTCACTTCGAGAGGTTGGATTGAATTTTGTGTATGACTTTGAAGGATGTTCTGTTACCGAACTATATACAGGCTTGCTTCCTCCCTTTGCTAGCCAGATAAGGTGGATAGTGTTCCCGAAGGCGTTTTACAAGGGGACGTATGGTACGGTCAGTGTACTGAGCTTCCTAGGAAGGAGCAAGTGAACTGGTATATTTATGTCGAAGAAGTGGCCGAGTGTAGGCGACAGGTTGGGTTTTGCGTAGGTTGGCGACGAATTATGTTTTATTTTGAGATTTCGAAAGGCGTTCACGGGAAATTTCTGCTTCAGTGTCATTTCTAAATTTGAAATCAGTCATCACCATCTTTTTGGGGGTGATTTAGACCTTATCCAACGTTTTTTTAGTGTTTGTACAATTTTTACTGAATGGAAATGCTTGATCTATGTTGGTCTGTTGGCTCCTAGTGTGGACGCCTCGACGAATATGTCTTAAAATTGTCATAACGTAACTTGATCGGTGGTGGTCAGCAGTCAAATCTAGGATGCTCGTTTCGTCCTATTCTGGACTCGTCATCTGTCGATTTACCTGCATCCCTATTGGAATTGATAGCATTCCTATTGAAACTTGACCCCGACACTCTGTATATTAACGAATATAATTAAATCACAAATTCTTCTCACTTATTCATCTTTTTGTGTTGTAATCAATTTGTCGTCATTTGTTGTGTTGTAGAGATCTGGCTGCTTACAACAGAAAACAGAAGATTTCACAAGAAGTTCAATTATCTACGGAAAATTCAATGAATGACAACAATAATTTAACTACTAATGAAGTTGTGTCAGTTAACTCTGAACAAGGTTAGATTGCTCACGTTTGTTTATCACTTATAATAAGAGTTTTTCTTAAAATGTTTAATTTTTCATGTGTTGGCTTGCAGTGATTTGATCTGATTGATTTCACATTTGATCACGAACTGATTTCAGTTAGAGAAAACTATTGAAAATCAACGGTGAATACTGGATAGCTGTTTCATCCTTGTTGTGGACTCTTCAGCCAAAGGCACCAATTACCCCACTAGGAATCGAACTCAGGACCTTCAAGTGACACGGCGAGCTCGTATACCTTTGAATTACTAGGACAGTATCCAACCCTCCCACCCCCATCAATTCTAACTTCTACCAATTGGTGATATATAGCGCAACTGCCAGCCAGTGTCATCTGCGAATATTTGCCTTTACATCCAACCCAATGCTGCATCGTCTGCATGCGGCTGGCTGCACTACTTTGTGACTCACAAGTTCGAACCTTGTTCTCCAAATTTTCAAGCCGGTTAAGACAACTGTATCATAGCCATCATACCGCAAATATGACCCTCTGTTTCGTATGCAACTCAGTGTTTGCCTTTTTTTTAAAGCTGAGGTCTTGATCAATATACAGCGTCGATCGAGTGGTGATTTGGCAACTTCTTCGCTAATACGGGGTGCCGCCGACAATTATACATCTCATCCAACAGTTGTACGACAATGCTGCATGCCAAGTAATCCGCAACAGGAAACTTACGGAATCCTTCGAAGTGAAGACGGGAGTAAGACAAGCTGGCTGTCTACTATCTCCAATGATTTTCCTGATTGCGGTAGATTGGATAATGTGACAGACAGTGGGCAGCGAGGAAACAGGCATAAAATGGATCCACACAGAAAACTTGGAGAATCTGGATTTCGCTGATGGTATATGTCTGAAAAGCGACAAGTCGGCAGAAGAAGCATCAAAGATAGCAAGGACTTCAGGTGAACATAGAAAAAGCAGATGTGGTGATGAAGATTCCTGGCCAACACCACCAACAGCAACAACAACAGACAACAATCAGCATAAATGGGAGGAACCTGAAAGAAAAAAACCTCCCTCACTTACCTGGGAAGCATCGTTTGAACTACAGGCGAACGGAACTGACGAGGATATCAAAGCAAGAATCGGAAAAGCAAGACAAGCTTTCACTACTCTCAAGTCTGTGTGGAGGTCAACAGCACTCAGCATGTAAAATAAGATCCGGATTTTCAACTCCATTGTGAAGTCAGTGCCACTATACGGATCAGAGACTTGGCGCGTCAAACAAACTACAGACCTTCATTAACAGTTGCCTTCGCTCAATACTCAAGATCAGATGGCCGACCAGAAAAGATCAGCAACAGGGATCTCTGGCAATGAGCGAACCAACCAGGAATCGATTGTGAAACAAATAGGCAGGAAGAAATGGAGATGGATTTGCCATACTCTGAGGAAACAAACCATCAAGTGACATCACTAGACAAGCCATCGCTCGAGTGGAACCCGAAAGGGAAGTGGCGAGTTGGTCGTAGGTGCGAGGGTGACTTGAAGAAGGTCATGTGAAGAGGAGATGAAAGCATGTGGGCTGACCTGGAGACAGGTGAAAACTTGAGCAGAGAACCGAACGCAATGGAGACGTTTGGCTGAAGCCCTATGTTCCCCTGGGAACTTAAGGGAATAATAATTATATTAATATATAGAGCAGACTTTTCAAGTAGTGTCAATCTATGGGCCACACTTAGTGTGTAGAAGGACTGATGATACTGCCTATTTGCCCATGCGGAAGTATGTGAAGTTGGATTTGATTGGTGAGTTCTATCTCCATTCTATCACAGTGAATAGGTTTGCGCTATTGTCAATTGCATGAACATATACGTAGTGAGGTTAAGTAGCAATAGTCTTTAATTAGTTCACGATGGGTTCTTAAATATTTTAAAGGTAGTCGATGTGTGTGTGTGAGAAGTTCAATTGCTCTGAAAGTTAATCAACTTGTAATGAGAAATATTTATCCATTGTCTTTTTTGTTTTATATACGTATTTCAGTAACGTTGAACCAATCAAATTTATGGAGTGCAAAATCTGTTCATAATTTCCTAATCATGTTAAATGGCATGAAGCCGAATATTGTTACATTTGGTATATCATTATTATTGCAAACCTGTCAATTGTCTGGTTGTCGTTGGTAAGTACTGGTTAGTAAGTAGTATGTATATATAAGTAATATATACATGCAGCCTTTTTTCATTATTTTTATTCTACTTTAAATGCACTAAGTGAGACTGATTCAGTTATAATGTGATAGAAACTTTCTGTCTTTCATTCTGGACCGAGGCTGTTGAAGCGTTCTGCTAGCTGGTGTGTTCTTTACGGAGTGGCGTTGCTAGCTGCATGCTTAACCTTTCATTTTCAAGTGTTGGTTTGCAGAGATTCGACCTGTTGGAATTCGTGGATCATTGAATTTGGGTCCCTACAAATTGGCCTTGCGACTGGAAGGCCCTGGGTTCGAAGCCTAGTGATGGTGATTGAGTATTGATGAAGGGTCCCAAGTACTAGGACGAAACAGCAGTCCAGTACTCCCGGGTTTTCTAGTGGTTCTCTCTAACCAATGTCTTCCCTCTTTTGTTGGGCTTAACTATCGGCTAGTAATCTTGTCGAGGATTTTATGAGTACGTCAGTTGACATTCGTACCCGGACCTTCAGCGCTCGTGGCATTGAAGAGTAATAACACTTCGTCTTAATGCACAGCGATAAATAAAGGTAGCAACAGTGATTTTGTAAATAAGCGTGTAAAAAAATTCGATAAAATGGCGATTTTTGTACCAGTTCTAAAAAATTGTATTAAATACGTTTACTTGATATGTGTAACAGTAGCAAGTTTTTCGAGCGCAGTTTATTGCTCAACAATCTGATCTTTCCTATTGACCTTATACCACAACTAGCGTTCATAAGACTACATCGGCATGTTGGAAATGCTTTTCTTGATACACCATACAGAAGCACTAACTTGACATTAGGAAGTCTTGGAAATCCGAATCTTGTGCCTTTTGTTGAGGGCAGTAGAATTTTCACACTGCTTTCAGAGTAATAAAGGTCTGTCCTACTTTTCGGATGCTGACTGGATTTGAAGTGATCATTGATGTTTAGAAAAGTGAAAGAAGCGATCTTCTTCAAATCGCCCTCGTTGATATTGATTGGTGCTTGTTGTTGCTGTAGGTTAGGTAGGTATCTTTATCACCTCTGTGTTCTCTTGAATCCCTCTATTCGCTGTCTGCGTCTTCTGCCAACTTGTTGGATTCTGTCTGTAGACCTGCAAATTTGTGTTACGTTGAACATGAATCGTCTGTGGGGTCCCGATCTTCCATTGTCTTCTCATCGGTTCAATATACGCCCATCTTCTTCTTGCTATCGACGGTCTGTTGCACAATCTCATTCATTACAATCGGGAGTCGTTTTCAAATGGAATGGACTAATTTTCGGAGAAATTAAGACAAGAATTCAGTTATGCATTTTATGTACAGGTGTGTGAATTAATAAACTTCCAGCAACCCCGTCCTTTGTGGACTGTACTTCCTCTAACTCTTTGGCTTCAAGTCTTCGCTCATTTCGTTAGGGATTTCTAGTAGAACTCTGAATGCCGAATTAGTCAAAAAAAAACTGGTTACTAATTGGAATTTTCAAGTATTGGTTTGTAGGGATTTGATTGATTGGTTACAGGATTTCATTATGAGCTGATATTGGTTAGAGACCCATTGGAAAACCAACTGGGAGTACTGGACAGCCGTTTCATCCTACTTTGGGACTCTTCATCAGTACACACCCACCACCAGGGTTCGAACCCAGGACCTTCTGGTTACAAGGCTAGCGAGCTCGTAGACCATTAAGCCACTGAGACCCGATCCAATGGCCAACCCATGAATCCTAACTCCTGCCAATTCACGATATACCGCAACCGCTAGCCAATGTCTTCGACGAGTATTTTTCCTCACACCCGACCTGCTGCACCCTACTGGCCACGACTTCCCACTAGAACCCCAGGTGGGCCAAGTCGCTAGTGAGCATCTCATTGATTTTCAAGTGTTGGTTTGTAGGGATTTGGTTGATTGGTTACAGGATTTCATCATGAGCTGACATTGGTTAGAGAACCATTGGAAAACCAACTGGGAGTACTGGACAGCTGTACTGTGATGCTGTAACCAATCAACCAAATCCCTACAAACCAATACTTGAATATCAATGAGATGCTCACTAGCGACTTGGCCCACCTGGGGTTCTAGTGGGAAGTCGTGGCCAGTAGGGTGCAGCAGGTCGGGTGTGAGGAAAAATACTCGTCGAAGACATTGGCTAGCGGTTGCGGTATATCGTGAATTGGCAGGAGTTAGAATTCATGGGCTATTAGATTGGGTCCCAGTGGCTTGTAACCAGAGGGTCCTGGGTTCGAACCCAGTTGGGGTGGGTGCGTACTGATGAAGAGCCCCAAAATAGGACAAAACAGCTGTCCAGTACTCCCAGATTTTCCAATGGTTCTCTAACCAATGTCAGCTCATATTTGGAATTTGTTGATAACATTGGGAAGTGTTTTTATGTGATTTACTGTGAACAGATTTGTCGGTCATAACAATATGTGTGACTCATTGGTCTAGTTAGATAACTCTCAACTAGTAGTTGTTAGGCTTGGTCCGTTAAAACAGCAGCTTCCTTAGATCTCACTGATTAACAATTGCTTGATTTATGTATTCACGTAGTTTCGGGATATACAGTTCAGGTGGGGTTGGTTATCTGTTAGTATATAGTAGGCGGCGTTTTGTCTGACTGCTAACCCCTCAACTCGTGTTTGGAGTAATTTTGGTAGATGATGAATAGCAGTGAAACCCTGCATGTGCATTTCGTCCCATCTGAGACTCGTCAGTCGGGTGGGTAGTCTTATCTGCTGGACTACTTTGGCTACCTCTTGTGTGATATGTATTACTTATTAGCACTGGGGGGGGATACAAGTATATCCAACTGGCCAATGGCAAACAGGACGAAATGCGCATCCTGGGATCGTCGAAACATCCGGCATGTTAACAGAGACTGGATATTTCAGACCAGTCAATTAATCAACGAGAAAATCAAAATTAACTCAACCCATCCTTGTTCAAAACTTTCTCCGTTTTCGTGTTATGCACATACTCTTTAATGTGTTTTACCTTCACTATTATTTCCTTGTATACAGGTCTTCAGAGCTTGCAACTGCCTATAGGAGTTTATTTCAGCGTTTACAACCATCTTTTCCGTATTTTCTAACAATTCCACCATCTAATTCACTACTGACGGATACTGTTAGTCGACTGACAAAAGATGCTGACACTTGCCTTCTACCAGAATGTGTATTGGCACTTAGAATACCGCCTGAAATCAAACATTTAGCCTATTTTTACCTTATATATATTGAATTACACTTAGAAGAATTAGAAGCGAATCCTAGCAGTAGTAGTAGTAGTACAACAGGATCAAAAGGAAGGTAAGTTCATCCTTTTTTTTTTGTTGTTGCTCTTTTTGTTTCTTTGATGTCGTATTGTGCCATCTCATTACAAAGCAGCACAATCAATATCAGTTAGCAAAATTATTAGAAGCCATGAAGCACATTGAATTATTATTATTGTTCCCTTGGGTTCCCAGTGGAACATAGGGCTTCAACTGCACGTCTCCACTTGCTTCTGTCTTCTGCTATACTTTTCACCTGCATCCATGTTAGTCCATACTGTTTCAACTCCTCTTCACACGATCTCCTCCATGTCACCCTTGGACGTCCCACTCGTCGCTTCCCTTTCGGGTTCCACTCGACCTATGGCCTGACGCGCGATGTCACCCAGCGGCCTCCTCAGCGAGTGTCCAATCCATCTCCACTTTCTCCTGCATATTTGTTGAGCGATTGGTTCTTGTTTTGTTTGTTGATATAGTTTCTTGTTGGTGATTCTTTCCGGCCATCTGATCTTCAGTAGCATAGAGCGATGACAGTTGTTGATAAAGGTCTGCAACAGGCTGTTGGAAATATTCTTTGTGACCCGCCAAGTTTCTGATCCGTACGTATAGGAGAACTGACTTGACGTTTGTATATTGAAAATCCGAATTTTGTTGTTGATGCAGGCTGAGTGACGAAGATTTCCAGAATGGTTTCAGGTTGATGAATGTGTTTCTCGCCTTCCCGATTCTCGATTTGACATCCTCGTCCGTTCCTCTTGTAGTTGAGACAATGCTCCCTCCCTCGATAAGTGAATGAAGTAACCTCTTTCAAATCCCTCCCGTTGATAGTGATTGGCGCTGGATGTTGCTGCTGTTGTTGCTGTTGTTGTTGTTGGTTGGTTATTATCATAACCTCCGTCTTGTCTATATTCACCTGGAGTTCTGTCCTTGCTGCTTCTTCGACCAGTTTGTCGGTCGGTTTTCGCTTGTAAGTTTTCGATTTAGTGTGACATCAAACATAAATCATCCGCGAAATCTAAGCACATTGGATAGCTGTTTGTAATCGTAGCAGTGTGCACCGATGACTAATGTATCAGCGTCCGAAACCTAGGACCTTCAGGTTACGAGGCCGACCTGTTGACTTTTCGGGCATTTGGCTGAATTTAGTATCCCGTGAATCCGAATTTCTGTCAATCAGTATCATCGGTGAGCGTCTGTTTTACCCTGGATTAGTTGACTCTATCTGCCACGATTTCCCACTATAAACCTCCAGTATGTTTATATTTATCAGCAATTAAGATGAGCTGAAGGTTCATATTCAGACTCAGATTTTAGGCTTTTTTCTAGGGATTTGCATGAATTTCAGTGTAGATTCTATTGTTACTATCAAAAACGACTCGTTGTCATCTGAGTACAGGAAGCCGATCTCTGCGTCCCACTGTGGTGAGGGTTGGCTGCTAGTCGAAATTAGTAGATAGTAATTTACGTCAATGTATACTTCCTCAATATTGGTCATGAGATAAAAAGAAGAACAAAGACTGACTCAACAATCAGTCACAGCAGACTTTGCGTAGGTGGATACAATTTGCAGATATATGGTCTGAACTTCAAGAAATGGCCACAAAGAGATGAACGATTAACGTTCAGCGAGAAACCACCAATCAGAAGACTGTTTGTCTGCTTACAATAATCTATAATAATAATGTACATGAAAATCTATAAATATGTGTTGACAAAACTTGCTTGAGACACGCGCAGTCACAAAACGCTCTTAAGATGGGGAAAAAGACGATTATTTTTTTCATAAATCTATCCGTCCTTCTATTAAACATTAATAACATCAAAAAGTCAGAATCACCTCAACAGTTGACGTTAGGCAGTTATTATACAGATCAGTTTATGCGCAAAACGCGAGCACAAAACAACAAATTATCAATATCATTACATAACCACAAAGAGAAGTATTAAAATTAGAGATTAAACAAACAGAGACTAATAATAATAATAATGATAATAAGGATCAAATCAACATGTGGTATTCAAACGTCGAAATAATGATATAAAGTCTAGGAGAGCAACGGATTGTTTCCTTTAATTCCTAGAGGAACATAGGGCTTCAGCCGCGCCTTTCCATTGCGTTCGGTTCTCTGCTAGAGTCTTCACCTGGCTCCAAGTCTACCCACACGTTTTCATCTCCTCTTCACATGACCTTCTCCAAGTCACCCTTGCACTGACGACCAACTCGCCGCTTCTCATTCGGGTTCCACTCGTGGGCTTGTCTAGTGACGTCACTTGATGGTTTCCTCAGAGTATGGCCAGCCAATCCATCTCCATTTCTTCCTGCCTGTTTGTTTCACAATCGGTTACTGGTTGGTTCGCTCCCAGAGATCCCTGTTGGTGATCTTTTTTAGCCATCTGATCTTGAGTATTGAGTGAAGACAACTGTTAATGAAGGTCTGTAGTTTGTTTGAGATGCTCTTTATGACGCGCAGTGCAAGTCTCTGATCCGTATGGTGAGTAGCACTGACTTCACATTGGAGTTGAAAATCCGGATCTTATTTGTGATGCTGAGTGTTGTTGACCTCCACATAGACTTGAGAGAAATGAAAGCTTGTCTTGCTTTTCTGATTCTTGCTTTGATATCCTCATCAGTTCCGTCCGCCTGTAGTTGAAACGATACTTCCCAGGTAGGTATTAATTAAAAAAAGGTTAGTTGCAACGTCCAAATAAGTACAAATTTTATATGTATCTGTGGGAGTAGTTACATTGGAAGAACAGAAAGAAAGGCATATTTACGATTTTCTGAACATGTAGCTAAAAGCCTATGTCTAAAGAGAACAAACGCTTTAAACAGTGCCATCACCAGGCATCTCCTTGACACGGGTCATGAGGTGGACGTCGAAAAATCGTTCAAAATTATCAATAGGCAAAAGAGTTCAATTCTCCTCAAGTTTTCTGAAGCCATCTCCATCAAGCACCTGAAACCTGATTTATGCATTGAGAAAGAAGCAGTTGACAGTCTTTCTTTGACCTGGTAACTGGATATTTTCACCTCTTTTTCATCTGATTACGTAATATCGAAAGTTTCCATTGTGTATGATCATTACTGTTCGGAATAGTGTTTAATATTATTATATATATATTATTACTGTATGCATATATTGATTGATTTTTGTTTAAAATGAACTCTGTGCAAGTATGTTAAAATTGTTTCTGTAGATGTACTTAATAATGACTTTGCCTTGTAAACAGCTTATGAGAATCTAACTGTTGTTCTTGCTTTATTCAAATACATTGAGAGGAATAAATGTATGATATTGTGATTTAATTATTCAGGAGGGATTGTTCAAACAATTTTTTCGGTACATCCATGACTTACTGACACTAGTTAAAGAGTCCTAGAGAATACCCAGGAGCAGTGGATAGCTGTCGAGCAGTCCACACGCATGACCCGCTCATATATTTTATCGATTTCATGCTTTCACTGATTCCTATCCATAAACATCAGTGTTAGGCAGTTAGATGCAACAATAGTGCCGAAAAAGTTTGAATTCACTTAACCGGGGCTAACCTAAAGGATAGTGACTATGGGGGTGTGGAAACGCCACCAATAAACATTGAACATATAGCATTCATTGGATTAAAGAGCCTTTCGTTATTAAAGCGCCAGTATGAACGCTGTGCACGACGAACTGATGTGCAAATTTCATCCTGGTCGCGTTTTTAAGTACTCTGTTCGGACAATAGGTAAGTAGAGAAGTTAGAGTTAGGATTTGTATTAGGATTAGGGTGCTTTATTACTGTTATCTGCATTTTAATTGTAATAATAAATAAATGGAAGGAGAACGTCTCTTGGTTCATATAGATATAACCGTTTTGATATCTATGAAACTTGAAAACTGATGCTCTTTTCTTGTAATTGGGGTGAAGTGGTGTCTTTAATGTGTTCCATTATTATTATGTAGAATACACTGCGGATTATGTAATCCAATGAATGGTGTGCGTTGAAGGTCATTGGTGCGTTCACATTCTGTGGTCGCTATTCCTTATGTTTGCCTCGATATTTAGCTGCATATATTGTGTTTTAGAGGCGGTGATGATTCCATCTAGAGTTGCTTAGGCTAAAGTATGTAGGGCAGGATAGGATTCGAACCCTGGACTCATATATTCATTTCAGCATTTCAAGACTTGTCTGCCAATCCTTTCCATATATTTTATTATATGGAGTTGTAAGTTAAGATAATAAGATAAATATAGGTTATTCGTTTTCGCCTATTTTGGAAAAGTGTACCTTCCTATTCATAATGATACTCACATAAGCTTAAGATGGTTTGGCATGACTGTACCTCATTAGGGATCTGTTGCCTGTGGCTTACTGTGGTGTAGTCTATCACTTGACTTTCAACTACTGAGTTGATGCGTGTGAATCCCTTGATAGCTCCGCCTACCGCGACTTTTAGACAGTCAGTTATTATCACTAGCCTTCAAATAATATGCGTGGTTCAATATCAGCTGGATAGACCTGAGTCCTTTGGCGCATTCTTCTTGCCCAGCTTCTGCATGCACTTTTGCAAGACACACCCTGACTGTCTGTCTTTTTCAACTTTCATTTCACCAAATTACCTGTATGAGAATGAAAATCTCTTGTTTTCTTTTGCAGCCGACAAGTTTTCTTTCCCTTTTCAACAAAATTTTTTAAATATTTTTATTATTTTTTTTAGAAATTCACTCATAACTGAAATATCAACATCGTTATTCTCCGCTTTAAATGAGATTCTTTCAAAATTTGAAGAAACCTCGTCAGATTATCCTATCATTATGAGTCATTGTAAGTAGTGGATGATTTTGTTTGATTGTTGGTTTTTCGGTTGCTCAGTTCCATTTTATGTGCTTATGGTGTTCAGATTGAAAGGAAAAGAGTTCATTCATGTTTTTCTGAAATATCTCAGTTAGAACTCGGCTAGGCGGAAGAGATTTTCCTGTCTTAAAGTACATGAACCACACTTATTTTGTGAGAGTTCATTATGCTACTCAGTTATGTAAGCTGTGATGTGTTAGTCTAGGTGATCGACTTCCAAAAAAGTGTGTCATGGGTTCGAAACCCGCCTCACCCACCGAAGTTCCGGCAACCAGGTAGTACCACCAGACCATACACACATTGCGTGTGGTCCATTTCCAACTTCGCGGAACTCTAAGCGTTTGTTGAGTATTGTTTTGTTCCTATTTCGGTTGTCCAGACTGAGGGTATAAGAATAAAACTTGTGCACTGTGGTAGAGTATAATTCCATTATGGGTAAAATTTATTTTGATAAAGTCTCACAGTGTTATACAGTAATGTTTACTGATGACGTTTCGAGTACAATTTATTGCCGCTCATAATCATATCAAGGTACTCACTCACACAACTTTCTAACTTCGTTTATATAATTCCATTATTTTCCATCGCTTGATTTTATTGGTATTAGTATTTTCCATATTTCCGGTATGAGTGATGAGTCATTCCTACTGCACGTGTTGGGTGTAGATTCGATGAACCAGGATTCAGTAATCAATCTCTCTCGCTCTCCACCTACTTATATTACTTCTTAGAATTTTAACCCTCTCCCACCCTATTGTGTGGTTGTGTGTTAATGCATGCAGTGCAATCGCTGAGCTTTTTTTCTAAATTACTTATCTTCGTAGGATCAATCATTCTAACCTTAGCTAAATTCTTATGTTCTGACAGCAATCTCACTACTCCTGCTCGATCTACTAGTCTGACCTATGTAGTTGACCTCACAGTCATTGCAGGGTATTTTGTAAATTATATTATTCTGTCTAATTCGTCAACTGTCTTTAACCTACAGAGCTTGTCCCTGAGTGAGTTTGTAGGTTTAAATGCCACCCTAATTCCTGCTTTATTAAGAATCCTACTACGAAGGGCCTCAGATGTCCCCTCCTTATATGGTAAAACTGTAGATGCCTTATATTCTCTCTTATTTATGTTATCATTATTAGTTTCACCATTATTTTTATTTTGCTTTCGACCTTTTCTGATCTTCTTAATGAATTTTATAGGATAGATAGTTATTAAACACCAAGCCTCTTCTATGTTTCATTTCATCATTTAGGTCTTTTTTGTACTACTTAGTGCTATTATTCCGTTTGTTAAACACTTAACTAAGTCTGCCTTAATAGTGAACGGATGAGATGAATTAAAGTCTAAATATCTATTAGAATGCGTTGACTTTTTATAAACGCTAGCGTTTATAGTTTATAACAATAGGGCGGGCGTGGGTTCAAATTCTAAGAAGTAATATAGGTAGTTGGAGAGCGTGAGAGATTGATTACTGAATCCTTGTTCATCAAGTCTACACCCAACACGTGCAATAGGAATGACTCATCACTCATACGGGAAATATGGAAAATACTAATACCAATTAAGTCAAGCGATGGAAAATAATGGAATTATACAAACGAAGTTAGAAAGTTGTGTGAGTGAGTACCTTGCTATGATTATGAGCGGCATTAAATTGTACTCGAAAGGTCATCAGTAAATATTACTGTATAACACTGTGAGACTTCATCAAAATAAAGTTTACCCATAACAGGCTGAGGGTAAGTTGTGTGAGACTCGAACATGGGACCTACTGATCGAAAATTGTATACTTTAGGCCAATGAACCATATCTGCATTATGACATATTTATTGAGTAGTAATAAATTTAATCACATAGAAGTTTGTGTACCACGTAATATACTGAGACTAATTTTTTTTATTCTAAACGATTCAAACTAAATGCTCATAGTAGAGTGAGCAGGTTGATGATACTCTAGCCTGGGCTCTGCCTCTCCTGGTGTGTCTTTGCGCACCAGGATAAACAATCGTTCAATGCTGTTTGGTCATCATTGATAGTTTGATATTCATGTGATATCACTTCATAACAGGATCAAGTTTGAATTCGGTCAAATCCTACTCCTTGTCCATCGGCGTATGCTGAACAATTCAATTAGACTGTGAATTTCTCCCGAAAAAAATCCGAAACGATAATCCAAACTATAGATTTAACCACACGTAGAGTGACGCGTAAAGTGCGAAATACAGGATATTCTGCAATACGGTACTTTATTACATAAAAATAGATATATAATATACAAACCTCAAAATGTGAGGTGTCTGTGGCCAAATGCCGTCAAATGCACAACCACTGTGCAGTCAATAAGTAAAAACAGCAATGCTGTGTCAAGGTCGATCCACGTGTCGGTTCAAGCGGCCCGCGAATGCCAAGCAAAGAATAAACAAATATGAACAAACAACTTTTAATAGTAAAGCATACACTATAGGGTAAGGTCAGCAAATAATGTTTAAGGTAAAGAAAAATAAGAACTATACTTTAATAAAATGATAATAGAACAAGTAATTTAACTGCAGTTGTAAGCAAATGTCATTGTTATAAATTAAGATATAAAAATCACACTACTTACTAATGACAAGTAGTATGATGTTGAACAAAGGAAAGATTGAGAATGAACAGGTAGGAAAGGAATTAACATAGACAGACGGACTTCATATTTGTAAGAATCATGATTGATGATAAAAAAAGATGAGTGACTAATTTTTGACACTAGTGAAACAAGAGCGTAATTAAGAGAAGAAGACACCTCATAAACCACCTGGTATGGTTGACGGTGGGTAGATGTCCGTCTTCCTCTCCAAATACTCCCATACAGCCACGCGTTTATAGGCTCTGCCAGCTAACTCTTATTCACTACCTTCGTGTAGCATGGCTGATCCTCACATGATTGAGAGTGTGAGTATGAATGTCTAATGCTTACAACCGAACTTTGGTGGACATTTGGGTCTACATAGGGGAGCTTGCTAGCCATCATTCAAAACCACCTGTAGTGTATGTACGTGAGCTCCACAATCCGAACAAATTCAATGAACCTGTTTTGATCACCGGAAACAATGTGACTGTAGCTTCGTACGCTACTCTATTGTCTTGCGGATTAGACTTCAAATCAAAGACTTGGAGGTGGGTAG